ACCAATCCTCTCAAACTCTTCCAAAACAAAGAAGAAGAAACACTTCCAAACTCATTTTCTGAGTCCATTACCCGGATACCAAAACCAGACCAGGATGCCATAAGGAAAGAATTTTATAGGCCACTATCTGTGATGAATATAGATGCAAAAATCCTCAACAAAATATTAGCAGTACAAGTTCAACAATACATTAAAAAGGATTCTACCCCACACTCAAGAGGCATTTATTCTGGGCATGTAATGATAGTTCAAATCACAAATCAATAAACATGATATACCACCTTAACAAAACAAAGGATAAAAGTCACGATCATCTCAATAGATGTAGAAAAATTATCTGAAAAAACGCAACATCCACTTATGATAGAAACTCTTGACAAAGTGCATATCGAAGGAACAAACGTCAACATAATAAAGGCTATATATAAGCCCACAGCTAATACACTCAAATGGAGAAAAGCTGGAAGCTTTTCCTGTAAGATCAGAAACAAAAACAAGGACGCCCACTCTTGCCACTTTTATTCAACACAGTACCCGAAGTCCTATCCAGAGCAGTTAGGCAAGAAAAAGAAAAGCACCCAAGTTGGAAAGAAAGAATTGAAACTATCACTAATTGCAGAAGATAATGTATATAGAAAACGCTAAAGACTTCAAATATGTTTGAGCTAATCAAAGAATTAAATGGAAGGATACAAGATCAATATACCAAAATCTTTTGTATTTCTAAACACTAGTGATGAGCTTTCAGAAAGAAATTAAAACTATTCCATTTACAGTTGCCTTGGGAAAAAAAAAAAAATTCCTAGGAACAAATTTAACCGAGGAGGTGAAAGACACGTAAACTGAAAACTATCCAATATTAATGAAACAAGTGGAAAAATATTTGTGCTATCAACTGGAATAACACTGTTAAGATGCCCATACTACCCAAAGCAACCTGTAGATTCAATGCGATGTATAAAATTCCAATGGCATTTTTCACAGAAATAGAACAAACATCCCACTAAAATTTGTGTGATGCCTCAAACAATCCAGAGTAGCCCAAGCAATCTTGAGGAAACAAACAAAGCTGGAGGTATCCCACTCCTTGATTTCAAACTATATTACAGAGCTAAAGCAATCAAAACAGTATGGTATTGACATTAAAAACAGACATATAGATCAATGGAACAGCATACAGAGCCCAGAAGTGAAGCACACACACGGTCACTTTACAACACAGGAGCCAAGAAGGTACAACAGTGAAGGGCCAGTCTCTTCAGTAACGGTGTTGGGAAAACCAGACAACCACATGCAGATAAATGAAACGGGATCACTATCTTACACCATACAAATATCACATAACAAGAATTATCTCAATGAAGATAAAAGACTTGAAAGCATAAGACCTGAAACCATCAAACTCCTGGAAGAAAACACAGGCAGGAAGCTCCTTGACATTTGTCTTGACTTTATGGTGTTAGGTCTGAGAACTCATTGCCAACAAAAGCAAAAATAAACACGTGTGTCTACATCAGATGAAAAAGCTTCTGCACAGCAAAAGAAACTATCCGCAAAATGAAAAAGGGGCCTAGTGAATGGGAGAAAGTGTGTGCAAATCTTATGCCTTCAGGAGTTCATATTCAGAATATGAAAGATCTACAACTCAATAGCAAAGCAATCCAATTAAAAAAATGGGTAAATAATTTGAACATTTTCCCAAAGACATATACAGATGGCCAAGAAGTACACGAAGAGGTGCTCAATATCACTCATCACCAAGGAAATGTGGATCAAAACCACAAAGACCCATCACCTCACACCTCTTAAAAGGGCTGCTATCCCAAAGACCAGAAGTAAAAAGCATTGGCGAGGATGCAGAGAAAAGGGGACCCTCGTACCCTGTTGGTAAGAATATAAATTTGTGTAGTCACTATGGAAAACTGTATAGCGGTTCCTCACAAACTAAAAACAGACCTTATTATTTGGCAATCCCACCTGTGGAGTTTACATGAAGAAAATGACACTAAATCGAAAAGATGTGTGAACCCCCATGTTCATTGTGGCATGACTCATAGTCAGGATTTGAAATAACCTAAGTGTCCACCGATGGGTGAATAAAGGAAATGTGTGTGTGTGTGTGTGTGTGTGTAGTGAACTATTATTCAGCCATAAAAATTTTTCCATTTGTCACAACATGAATGGACCCAGAGGGCATTCTACTAAGTAAAATAAGGAAGATAAATACTCTGTGATCTTACTTAAATGTAAATTCCTAAAAAGAAAACCAAAACACTCCCCGAGGCTGGCTGCCAGAGGTAGGGGCTGGAGGGTGACTGAAAGGGGTTGAAAGGTACAACTTCCAGGTTTGAAACAAGTTAAGTCAGGAGTATAGAATGGTGACTGTAATTGATAATACTATGTATGTGACATTTGCTAAGAAAGTAGATTTTGTATGTTCTCAGCAAAAGAAAACATTTGTAACTATTTGTGGTGATGGATCTATTTTTTTTTTTTTAAGTTTTTAAAATTTGAGAAACAGAGAAAGCAAGTCGGGGAGGGGCAGAGAGGAAGGGAGACAGAGAATCCCAAGCAGAGTCCGTGCTGTCAGCTCGAAGCCTGGTGCAGGGCTCGAACCCATGAACAGGGACATCATGACCTGAGCTGAAACCAATAGCTGGAAGCTTAACCGACTGAGCCACCCAGGCGCCCCTGTGGTGATGGATATTAACCAGACTTAGTGTGGTGATCGTTTTACAATATATACAAATATGGAATCCTTACATTGTACACCTGAAACTAACATGTCATTATATCTCAGTTAAACAAAAAAGTACAAGAGGAGGCAGAAAAGACGTCGAAAAGACACAGCATGAGAAGGATGCACATGGAATGGGTTCTGGCCTCCAGTGAGGAACGCGGCCCATGAACACCCTGATTTCGGTCCAGAGAGACCCACAGCACACTGTGACCTCTAGAATTGTGAGGTCCTAATTACGCGTTGTGTTAAGCCACTCCATTTTGGTGATTTGTAAAAGCAGCCATAGAAAGATAATACATCAAGTCTCCAGAGAGCTCTGAGAACCTCAACAGAGGAGGCTAAGAGGGCAGATATTTGAAAACAGATTAGAAATGTGGCTCTAAAATCGGGAAAGATCTAGCTCGGGTAAGTTACGTAGACCTACATCATCAAACACTGGGATCTCAGAACTGGGGAATAACCACACGCAATTGAAAAATGTAAAATGACCAGGAGGCAGAATCACTGAAGAGAATGTCATGGAGAAGGGATGTGGGTGTGGGGACACAACGCTGGCAAAGACAGGTGCCCCATTCTGTGGGGCAATAGGCATGAATCAGAGGTTTGAAGAATGTTTGCAGTGATTTTTGGGTAAAAACGTTCAGGACAGTGTTATTTAGAAGTGATATCGATATATTTTGTTCGCCTCATTAATGAATGTTAATGGATACTGCTGTTATTAAGACACTCACTGCTACCGGGAAATGTTCATAATACAGAAGAATTATGCTACAAAACAGTGTGCTGTGCTTTTCTAAAGAAAATATATGGAGAAAAAAAAACTCAAAGGCCCATTCTCCAAATGTTAAATGTATATGGGGTAGCGGTATTACACATTTTCCTTTCTTAAAAAAATATTTTCCAAGTTGTCTGTACTAAGTTTGTAATGAAGAACAAATCTAATAAAAAAAACACAAAACTTCTGAAGTATACCTGTACTGTTTTACACAGAAGACTGTATATGGCGGAGATTAATTACTTGGAGAGGAGGAGGTAGGGGTGAGAACATACTTAGGTAATCAATTTAGACTTTTGAAGTCACCTGGGAGGAAGCTTCCACAAAAGAGGTATTTGCCTTGGGTGCAAAATTTCTGAGTGGATAAAGAAGATGTGATACACACACACAGGAATATTACTCAGCCATAAAAAAATAAATGTCATTTGCCATGACATGGATGGAGCTAGAGAGTATTAGGCTAAATTAGGTCAGAGAAAGACAAATACCATATGATGTCACTCATATGCGGAATTTAAGAAACAAACACAAAAATAAAACAGGCAAAGGAAAAAGACAAACCAAGAAACAGACTCTTAACTACAGAGAACAAACTGATCCCCCAGAGGGGATGTGGTGGGGGGGGGGGCGGGCAGCAGATAGGGAAATAGATGATGGGGATTAAAGCACACACTTATCATGGAGAGGACTGAAAAAGGTAGAGAATTATTGAATCCCTGTATTGTACACCTGAAACTCACAGAACACTGTATGTTAACTTTTCTGGAGTTAAATTTCAAAACTTAAAACAATTTCTGAAGGCACTGAAACTAAGTAATTGAGATAAACATACTAATGCAGTGTTTGAAATACTTGAGGCTAATGCCAAAAAAATCCATGATGAACAAAATATCAAAATTTTAAAGGCAGATCAGTACTGGATCCATGACGGATAAAATGGACCCCATTTCCAACTCACTTTGACAATTATTTTCTAAGACCAGGATTCTCACAGTGTGTTCCTGAGCCCCCACAGCATCAGGATTTCCCAGGAAAGTGTCAGAAATGCTCTCTCTTGAGCCCAACACACAGGTTACAGAATCAGAAACTCGAGGGGGAGCGGGGATGCCTAGAAATCAACGCTCCATCAGTCCTTCCGGGCTAGGGAGCCTCTGTGTTCCATAATAGACAGGTGTCATTAACAGCTATGTTGGTAGAAAATGTGTATTACACTAATTTTCCAAGACAACATTCAGCGAGTGTTTGCTACGAGCCTGGCTATATGCTAGGCTCTCTGCATGCATTGGGGATGTTTCTCATACCTCGGTTTTGTAGGGAAGAACACTGACCTTGATCAGGGTTAAGTACACTGCCTGAGGTTGCCCAGCAAGGACACAAGAGACCACAGAATGGCGGACTCGAACATCTGTTTTGTTAGCATCTGTGGAAATGTCTCTGCAGGTGGCAAGAGGCACAAAAATGGAAGAAACACATGCCTGGGCTTACCCTCTGACTCGGACTCCTCTTCATCTTCCTCCTCCTCCTCCTCGTTGCTGTCGTCCTCACTCTCTTCCTCTTTGGCAATTTTCTGCCGAGCGCTCTTAAACACAGACTGTAAGACGATCGAGTCTTCATAGATCTAAAGGGTCACAGGGGCACCGGTTACAAACACAAGCTGAGGACTCAGTATCACAGCCACAGTCTCTTCGTCAAGGCACACACCCGCTTCGCTGTACGTGACTCCTATTAGAAACATCAGTGTTAGCTTTTATGCCTGCGGGAAACCCAACAGGAAAACGCTGAACTCTGCTATAGACACACATATTCTTACGGAAAAAGAGTCCACTTGTGGTTGAAATTGTGTGCGTACGTGTGCATACATACTTAGGGAAGGGTAGACTTGCGTAAGATATCCTCACAACTGTGGCAACACAGAACACTTACAAAACTTCCATTTGTTCCTTGAAGTGTTTTGTCGAATGCTGTGGTAACACAACCTTGTCTAGAATGCAGATCCCCTAACAAAATGGAGGAAGTTGTTCTTTATTATTGGCTTATCCGTACTGGCCATGACTATTCCAATCAATACCTCACTTTCAGTGTATGCACAGACCTGAGCACAGCCCTGTGCAGTAGTTGCTGAGATCTGAAGCTCAAACATGGTCCTTTTACTCCAAAAATGAAAAATTCAAGTACCATACGATCCAGCAATCCCACCTCTGGGTATATGTCCAGAAGAATTGAGAGCAAAGTCTTAAAGAGAGATTTGTACTCACATGTTTACAGCACCTTTATTCGTAACAGCCAGGAGGTGGAAACAAGTCAGGTGTCCATCAGTGGATTGACGGACAAATAAAATGCAGTACAGAAGGAAAATGGGGTATTATTCAGCATTAAGACGGAAGGAAATCCTTTCATATGCTCAAACCTGGATGAGCCTTGAGAACATAGCCCTGAGTGAAATAAGCCAGTCTGAAAAGGACAAATACCGTCTGATTCACTTATATGACACATCTAAAGTAGTCAAATTTGTAGCAACACAAAGTTGAACAGTGGTTCCCAGGGACAGGGGAGCGGTCAATGGGGTGGTGTTTCACGGGTAGGGGGTTTCAGCTTCACCAAAGAGTTCTGGAAATCTGTTGCACAACAATGAGAACATCCTTAACACTACTGAACTGCACACTTAAAAATGGTGAAAACGATACATTTTAGGTGTTTTGCCAAATTAAAAAAAAATACGGAAGCCAATGGCCTTGGACTCTAGATCTAGAACATAAGCCTTTTTGTGAGAAGCCAAACACTCATTAAGGTGACTGGGAGAGCCACAGTGAGCCCCAGAGGTAGTACAAGGGAAGAAATGATGGGGAGAGGCTCTAAGGTGGGGCCACTGGGGCAGAATTTGCCAGAAATCAGAATGCAGCTAGATATGTACAGGTGAGGAGGATTCCATCAGGGCTGAGAAGGGGGGGGGGGGGCTATTTAGGGAAAGACAGCAAGTGAGAAAGGTGGGGAGGCAAGAATATGATACACGTGGGATTGCACCAAGCAAGGTCAATTTCCTAGTGGTGACGGTGGACTGCTTATACAAGATGTTGCGGTCTTGTGACCACATAAAGGGCACACGGGCTCTCCCTGTCCTATTTCTTACGGCAGCACGTGCATCCGGGTGTGTGTTCATGGGGCAGGTGTGACTGGACCACGAACTAACTACTTAGCCTGAAAAACAGCAGAGACAGAGGCTATAGTGTGAGGGTAGGGTACGACTTTGGAAAGCAGCCTATGGAGATTCAATTCCTTCTAGAATCTAATCGCACATGGTGGGAAGTAGATGGGCAGGAAAAGGAGCTGGTGAGAGAGTGAGCCACATGTTTCCAGGATGGACGGAGAAGGAAGCCAGCCAAGAGACCATTTAGGTCTTTAGTTCACGTGTGAGACAGGGCAGCTGTGGCACCAGAGGGGGACCGGAGGACTCGGAGGCACAGCACCACACTGCCCAAGTCCAGTATGACGAACCCAAAAGTCCATCCAGCGACTGCAAGGGATCATTCACAGGAAGACATCCTTGTCGACTCCTGCTTATTACCCTCTCTGCCCTGGTTTCCATGTGAGCCTTCTTTCAAGAGGGTCTGGATTGCAGAAGGCCTGCTTTCAAGAACTGCTGCTGAGGTCGGCCATGACTTAACCACCGTTAACCTGGAAACCCACAGTCTTTTCCTAAAAGGCATAAAAGGCCCTTGCGAGGGTCCTCTTGTTCCCCAGTTTCATGATTGGAATGGGCATAAAAGATTTTAAAAACAAGATCAGGAGAGAAGCTCAAGGAACTGAATGGTGGCTTAACACTGTACCAGTTGGCAGGCACACTGACCTCTCCTCTCTTCATCATGATACAAGAGCATTAGCAGAAATACAGACAGGGGAAAAGGGGGTGCTTACAAAAGGGGAGCGGAATTGAGGTATAATTCCCGTGAGAGGATCCTCTCGCCAGTTATTTTCATCAGCTGAGTATCACTGACTCGTATACTTTAAGACTTGCTAACAGTAAGAAAGGGGACTTCTTCACTGCGGTTGGTTTGATAAGCATGTTCTGTAAGCAATTAAAGGCAATGGTTCTTTTTTCTACGTGTATCCTTTTTTGTCCGTTTGCTTTAAATCAAAGTATTTTCATTTACTGACGACGGTTACGGTCAGAAAAATGAAGGTGAAGTATAATCAAGTGCACGGTCTCTACAAAAGCAGAAAACCATACCTCTAGCCTTGAAGCATTATGCTAAGTGATTTCCTTGAATTCCAACCCCAATTAGAAGCCAAGCCTTGAAGGGAAAGCATAAATAGAAGCTATAGCACAGCTATGATACAGAGGCTGGCCTTAATTTGAAAGAGCCAAAGCCTCAATTTATTTACATACTCGCGTACGATATAGGCTTTTATTTCTCATTTTTGATTCTGCACCCCCTGGCGGGGGGGAGTAGCAGTGGTTCAAATAGTAGAAAATGAAATAGATCACTTAAAAGCACATAAGCACATCGAAGGTGAAAAGTTTTTCAGGCAACCAAAGACACATACCTGAGATCCCTCCAAGTTGAACGTCTGAGCGTTGTGACAGAGAAGCATGACATCTTTCTCCAGGTCACCCAGGCTCCGGTATTTGTGATTACGAATCCTCTCCTAATGCAGGTTTTGGATAAAATTGAGGTTAATGAAGAGGAAGGGGGGAAAAAAAATACAAAAATCATTACTTGGTCCAAAAAAGCCTGATTTGCCTCCCTTGTCTTCATAACCGCCCTGCCAGGGATGTGGGGCTACACAACTCTAGGGGGCGCTGTTCACAGAGGCCACCCTCCCACGGGGATTCCTTCTTGCAAGGGGGAAGGAGCCGCCCGGATTGGGGGGAGGAGTCTGAAACTTCTGAAATAAAATGCAACCGAATACACTATGGGCTCGTGACATGATGAAATCATATACATGTCAAGGCTCAAGGATATCCCAACTGTTCTAGGGACGAGCCCTAGATGGAGGAGGTGGGGCTGGGGGGGGGGGGGGGGGGGGGGGGGGGGGGGGGGGGGTCCACGGTGGTCAGACAGGATGCCACTGCCAACCCCTGACTGTAATCATTTCAATGAATTTACCTTTTTCTTTTTTTATAAAGTTTGTCAACAAAATATCTACCTTTATTTTTTTGAAATCCACCGGCTTCCTAATTAATTCATAGTATTCTGGTAACTCTTTTCTTGAAGGTAACTGAATGAAGACTTCACTGAGCTGCCGCCCTGAACTGTAAGGTTGGGGGGAAACAAACAAAACCATATCCGGTCACGTACTACCAAGGAAAGCTTTTATTTCAGAAAATGTCAAAAAAAAACCCAAAAAAAACCCAAAAAACTGCATCCCACGTATTATAGACAAGGGGCCCCTTAAATCCAGGAAAAATCTCACAACTAGAGATTAATGCTCCTTGTGCTAACTCCGAAATCACATTAAAATGCCATTAGATCCCCACTTCGGTCACACATGATATGCGAGGTCCACTGTGAGTTCCTCTTTCAGAGTGAACAGATCTCTGTTTTGATAGAAACATTTAAAAGTGTCCTATTCAACCAACCACTCCATTTTTTAATGAATAATAATTGAGTTGGCAAGAAAAAAAATTACAATGGCTTTATTTCCACACTCCTTTGTCTTCAAACTCCCTGTATATTCAGAAAATAGTATGTTAGAATATGACTCTGGAAACTCAAATGAAAAGCTTTTGTGTCGCTTTCTTTTCTGTGTTATTCCTTTTACAGTGTTTTACATACTGTGAACCACGCATACCTTTATTATTATTTGCCAGAGGAACCCCTTCATCTTGCCTAACTGCACTTCTGTGCATATGGCCATTTGGTCAGAAAAGAACAAACATATTTAGCAAGCGCGGATAACCTCGTGTTTCTGGGATTAGTGCAGGACCCTCCCTCAAATTCATGGTAGCTTTCTTTGAAAGCAAATTTAATAGCAACGAATGCTTAGTAATTTACAACTTTGAAAAACAGTTTATAAGGCACTATAAGCTTCAACATCACCTAATACTGGAAGCAGACATGAGTGAAGGAACAAAGATATTCATAATTTAGGTTCAAGATTCTAATATCTGGCTTGGCCTATCCAGATCGATGGTAGCTTGTGAGGTATGGTATGGTCATTTTTCAACAAAATCTTGCCTCCCTTATGATGCAGTCTCTACTTCCTTTGTGAAGGCAGAAATACAAACATAAATAAATAAATAAATAGACAGAAATCACTACCATGTAAATTTCGGAAGGGGGATTCCAGGAGTGTGGGAGAATGCTGTGGCTAAGAATGAGTGACAATATGCTGTTTTAATCCATACTCCCAGTTGTATAATTAAAAAATATTCATAATGACAGTTATCATAAAAAAGGCATGCGCAGTAACTCAAAGGGTTGCTTAGCAACCAGTGGGGAAAATGCTGAAGTGCAAAGGGGCCTGCATAAATTAACCGAAAATCCGCTGTCAAAGGAATGGGCGAGTTTTTCTATCATGGGGGGGGGGGTCTCTGTTTTATTTTTTAAAATATATACATGGGCCTCATGAATATGGAAATCAGGGGGCACACGCCAGAGGTTGAAGAAGACTGCAGTTTACCAGGGAATTAGATTTTTAGGTTATCGTGGGAAGAGCCAAGGAGTTTCTCCCACCCCACAGCCGCCCTGACCCCCCTTTCCCCAGGCTGATAAAGCTATTTGTACCTCCATAAATTATACCAGCAAAATATGACAAAAAGTAGTTTATTTATGGTCACCTTCAACATAGGGCCACAATTCCTGGTTTGTTCTTTTCCTCCCATTCTGAGATTTATACACACAAACGTTTTACCTGTTTGAAAAGAAGTATCTGAAAGGCAATTTATTAGCTATCAGTTTTTCTATTTCTATCCGTGTCTTCTCAACAAAGAGTCAGACCTCCTTGTAATCTCAGATTTAACACCTGACCCTCAATGACATCTTCACGATGTCATTTTCGACATTGCCAACAGATGGTGTCATTTTTCTATTGATGGATTACAAGGACATCTTTGCTTTGTACACCTGTGATGCACAGACCCTTGATTTCAGCAGGGCTCTCGGTGAAATAAGAAATAAGCTGTTTGCACCAAGAACGTGATAAAGGGCTTTCCAGCAGGGGCAAAATGGCCAAAACAATCTTGGTCTGATGTCTCTGTCTTTAGTCGGGTTGTGGGAATTCTAGACCCTGTCACGAGACAAGTCCAGAATTATCTGTGCTCCTAAAGGAGAGAGCTGAAAATTCTGAGACTCTGAAAAATCAGACAGATTTCTTCTGTTGATATGGTTTCAAAAGTTAACGCTCACTCAATATTCTGGTCCTATTTCCTTTTTTCCCCTCTGCCTAAGAACAAGGGAGCACTGGGGCAAATGGAAGATCTGGAAGCTACTGAAAAAGGCCTCTAATGGTATGTTGGTTGGATCATCATACAAACATGTCAGTCCTCCTCAGCTCTGTATTGATGACCTGACTCTTCTATTCAGGACAGTATCTTTCCTGTGTGCCCATAAAGACCATGGTCAACCCCCCACGTGATTACTAATTCCCAGGCTCCATGCCTCCAATCGTACTTCAAGATCAAGAACCCATGGGGCGCCTGGGTGGCGCAGTCGGTTAAGCGTCCGGCTTCAGCCAGGTCACGATCTCGCGGTCCGTGAGTTTGAGCCCCGCGTCAGGCTCTGGGCTGATGGCTCGGAGCCTGGAGCCTGTTTCCGATTCTGTGTCTCCCTCTCTCTCTGCCCCTCCCCCGTTCATGCTCTGTCTCTCTCTGTCCCAAAAAAAAATAAAAA